AACAAATTGCAACTAATGTTTAATCTGTGAAAATAAAAAACAGAGGAATCTTGTAAACTGTTCACTCTTGCATCATGAAGTGGCTTGTGAGATGCGCTGCATGTTTCTGAATCTATTCGGAGTCCAGCAGACTGGTTTTTAAAGCTTGGGAGGGCAGCTTAGTTTTTAAGAAGTTGAAAAGTTTTGGAGTGCTATTGAAACAAAGAGACGGAATATGCTTAATAGTTCAAATAACATTGATAAACGTCTTAATAGTATTTCTACTTTCTCTTCCTGTTCAAACTACCAAGAAAAGTGCTGGCTGCTGCAGCTGGACAAAATCATGTCCTTTTTCTTTATAATGTTGCTGCCCTGGCCAGCTGCACATACCTTGACTAATCTACCATGTACTTGCTATAAACCAATATAAGTATCATGTAACTCTGTCCCCCAAAATACTTAGATTGATGCTTAGAAATAACCTACCCTTTTTTTGCATCGTCAGGCTAGATTATGAGCCCCGGCTCCCATGATAAATTCCATCTTCATTAACCGCTAGGTCACACACTTGGTTGAAAATGAGAAAGGACTTTCTATAAGAGGAAATAGTAAAGGCTATAAATGTGATCTGCTCAAGAGGAAAATAGTTTTAGTGGAGAAGGAGCAAGGAGGTTTAGGGGGTGACGGACCTGGGAGCACATACCACAAGTTTCTAAAGTAAATGGCTATGGAGGAACAATTTAGAAAACAAGTGGTAAAGGAGCTTGAAAAGAAATCAGAAACGCAAGAGATAATTTCAAACAGCATATCAGATTCGAGGTAGGAATTGACAGAAGTTGCTTTTCTCGGACATTAAGATAGGGCATGGCCCACTGGGGGAACAATTCCCTATCCTCAGCAGACCAGCAGCACAAGCAAATCTGACAATTGCACAACATAGGAACAGTGGAAGCTGGATTTTGAATTTTTCAGAAGACAATGTTAGAATTGGGAAATAGAATACTGGGAATGCTGGAAAAACATAAAATGCGGACAAGGGAAAGTAGATGCTATCATTTTGGAGTGCTACTGCATTTTTTTTGCAGTAGCACTCCAAAACAAATATTTGCTTCTTTTGGTTGTATAGCACTACATGAGTCTTCCAGACACAAAAGAAGATGAGGAAGATCGAACCCAACATCTGCAATAGATGTTACACGTGTAACATGTGTTATTCAACAAATGCAGATTTGGAGGATGCTAATCATTTGCTTCTGCATTGTAGTGTAGGAAAGGAATTATGGAATTTGTTTCTCAGCTTAGGGGATTAAAATGGGTCATGAAAATTGGAAGAGGCTATAAAGAGCTGGGACGGGTGAAGACAAGGAAAAAGTTCAACAAAGTTTGGAAGACTAATCCACGGTGCATAATCCGCTACATCCAGAAAGAAGAAATCAGATACTCTTTAAAGATAAAACTATAGCAACACACATGTTGAGAAGTATGCATTAATTAGCTTTTTCGTGTAAATTGGATTTTATAGAGGACACTACTACTACAACAACAACTACAACAAATAATTCAGTGCAATCCCACACGTGGGGGTTTTATAGAGGACACTGATGAATTTTTATTTTTATCTGCTACCTAAGATTCTGAATAGGTTCTAAATGTAACATAACTGATCTTCTGCCTGTTAACAGAGAATCCAGTGGATGCCTAGTGAATTATACTTTAAAAAAATGTGTTATAAAAAAAATCCTTTAGCTACAAACTTATGACGATAGAAACTTTAGCTTTACTCGAAGAATTAGGCCGGCAGAGATAATAACCATGAGAATACGAAGATTAGAAAAAGCTTGCACCTTGGGTCCGGACGGAGTTCCCACAGAGGTTTGGAAGTATTTGGAAGAGGTTGGTGTACGATGGCTTACCAAGCTGCTTAATGCTATACTAAGAAGTGGTAGAATGTCCAATGGCGGAAAAAGTAAGTACCTTAATTGAATTTATAAGAACAAAGGAGATATTAAAAATTGTGTGAACTATCGTGGCATTAAGCTTATCAGCTAAGTTGCTCGGACTCTTCACTTTACGGTGCCGCACTCGTAGCGACATGACATGACTGTGGTGTAGGTGTGGGATTTGAACGGATCAGGTCAATTAATTTTGGGTACTTTAAAAAAAATCGACTAAGAAATTTGGGACAATACAATGATTTCTGAAATCAAAACAAAAGGTAGGGTGAAATTGAAGAAAATTGAATATCTTGTATTCATGGATCATCCGCTTGATTAATATTTTCTCCTTCTCGGAATAACTTGTAAGTTTTTCATATAAAGTCTTATAATTTAGACATATTTTTATAACACTATTTCTAGATATTTTAATTATTTTTAGTTGAATCCCCGCACTCGTATCTGTACCTGGATTCGCATCCCCGAATCTTAAAATTTAGATCATGAAGGATCCAACCTCTAGATTTGCACTCATATCGGACACCCGCACCCAAGTCCGAGCAACTTAGCCTATCAGTCATAAGATGAAACTCGGGAAAAGAGCGACAAAGCGTAGACTAAGAAACACTGCAAGAGTAATAGATAATCAGTCTGGTTTCCTACCTGGTAGATTTAGGAGGCTATATTCATTTTAAAAAGATTGGTGAAAATTTATTGCGAGAGAGATTGATGGCTATATTCTTGTTAAGCATTATGTACACATTGTGTTCATAGACCTGGGAAAAGTGTATGATAGAGTACAAGAAATTTTCTTTGGTGGGCGTCGGAGAAGAAAGGAATTAAATACATAAATGCCGTAAAGGACATGTGTGAAGAAGTTATCTCCCAGGATGAAGCATTACTTGTCTTTTGGAGGAAGATTGACTCTTGTTAATAGGAGTGCTAGTAAGGATACCTACATATCTCATGTCCCTTGTGCCCATTACGGTGATATAGAGAAGAGAATTAACAGGTTGAGGAGCAATTTCTTATGGGAAAGTAACTCTAAAAGGAGGAAATTTCATAGGGTGAAGTGGAAAGATGTAATCCAAGGTAAAATGGGTGGTGGAACCGGTATAAAAAATCTTATATTGCATAACAAAGGGTGGTGGAACCGGTATAAAAAATCTTAGATTGCATAATAAAAGTCTTTTGTTTAAGTGGCTATAGAGATATGATGATGAAAAGCAAGAATTGTGGAAAGAAGTTTAAATATCAAATATAGTAAGATGGACTGTTGGAGGCCAAATCCTGTTCTATTGTTGGTAGAGGAGCAATTTGGAGAAATATCAGTAGGATGTGGGGGGAATTTCAACCGTAGGTTAAGATGGAAATAGGGAATGGAAGGAGAATAAAATTTTGGAAGACATGGATAGACAATGGGAGACTCAAAGATCAGTTTGCTACTTTGTACATTTTAGCAGTTAACAAAAACTGTTTGGTTACTGATTGTTTTGCAGGAAATGGATGGCAGCTGAATATTAGGAGACATTTCAATGACTGGGAACTCAATGAAGTCAGCCAGAAATTAAATTTATTGGAGCCACATGCTTGGATGACAGCAGGAGGGATTCTCTAAGATAGAAGGCAGGAAACAAATGGTAGTACCTTTTCTGTTAAGAGCTGCTACAACATGTGACAATTGGGATGGGGAACGGCAATGAAAGATGCTCCGGGAGAACAAGGCACCTATAAAGTTGCTTGTGTTGGTTGGGTGGCCGCAAAAAATGCCACATATCTGGGGATTTTAACTGTGCTGCAGATGCTTTTTGTGTGAAAAAGCAGGAGTCTCTCCTAACCATATGCTTCGTCACTGTGAGTTTACCTGGCAGATCCGGACAACATTTTTAAATGTTTTGGGAGTTCAATGGGCCATGCCATATGAGGTGAAGAGTCTACTGCTTAGCTGGCATGCACAAAAAATTAGTACTAGCAGAGGTGTTAATACATTGAAATAGGTGTAATGATCAACTGATTTTCTGCTCGGCCTAGTCTACTAGATGAGCTCCATGCTTTTAACCAAGCCACTCACACCTAGTCGCTTGTGAATACCCCCCAAACACACACACACAACAAGTGCAGTTACTGCAAAGCGAATAAATGATGTTAAGCGAAGTGACATCTGTTCTTATTAAACTTTACTTTTGAAGTCCCCAAAGTATGGACATGGCCGTAGAATTAGCGTGGTAAGTTTAAAGTTGAGGTGCATGTACTACATCTTCTTCCTTTCAAATCTGAAATTGGAGAAGTCCTGAAAGAATAGAAGAACCTTGGACCTAGGTGAAAAAAGGTACTAAAAACTAACAGAACAACTGTCATATTTATTGCGCCAACGGTATCTACAAGATGAATATATAACTAGAAGAGAAGCAATTTCTCCTTTGGTAAAGTATGAGACGTCCAGAAATTCAGGACAGCAGGGGAAAAAGCAACCTCAAGGTCAAAAGTAAACAAACCTCACGGTGATACCAACATAATCATCAAGAATAGAGGTTAAGGCGTACCTGAATGACTTATTCAAGTATCTGTTTTGTTGTTTACCCTCTTTACTCTAATCTGGCATAGCCAATTCAACCTCCCAAGAACAAAGGATAATAAGGACTACTAAATTACGGACAAGGTTATTTCCAGACACTTGGAAGAGATATTTATGCATCCAATCCAATCCGCGCTTAAAAGACACCCTCTTTAGTCTAAACTAGCATAGACAGTTCAACCTCCCAAAACTAAGGATAATAAAAACTACTGAATTAAGGGCAAGGTTATTTCCAGATACTTGGAAGAAATTTTTGTGCATGAAATTCAATCCGTGCTTAAAAGATTTTTCCCACTTCTATGCTACCGGAGAAGTAGAAAAATTGTAAAACTTCATGAATGACCATTTTGTGATAGAGAAAGGGTAAGCTCAGCATAAATAAGTATAAATAAAATTCCGACCCAAAAGAAACAAGATTGTCAATGAATAAAAAATTGTAAAAGAACTCATGATAGAGCTGAATGAATAGCTCCATTTAATGAGGTAACCACCCATGTTGTCCATAAATTAACTTTTAAATACAAACATGCATAGAGCTTTTATTAAATGCGAAAAGACTCTCCATCTAATCAATTATCCATTTGTAAGGAAGGACAAGTAAAGACAAGCCACACAATGCAATTTAAATAAATCATTTGATCTCCTTATCAGAAAATAATGTCCTCGTCTTTCTGTGAAGCATGGGATAGCAAGTTATGGGCTGTACCTAGCGAAATACCTCTCTTCAAGGAAATTTCTTCTGCAGCCTTCTCCTCTGCATATTGCTTGGAAGCCAGCATCTGTCTCTCTACCTCCCTCTTCTTGTAACCTTGTATCTTCTTCAGACGAAAGAAATCTTCCCTTTCCAGTTCATCAAGTTCCCCTTTGATGTAAAGCACTGTGTTCTCCAACCGTGGCTTCACAACATTCTCCAATGCATTAACCCTCCGATTTGTGGTCTTGATCGCCTCATCAAGAGTCAAGAATGATGTCTGTAGAGAGGCAAGCTCAACAAGCAACTCAATAGATTTCACGTAAGCAGCACGGCAAGCTTGCACCTGTTGCCCCCCTCTAGCTAATCCAGTCAGGTCATTCTTTGTCTCTCCTTCAGAGAAATGCTCGAATTTAGGGAGCTTTACACCCGCAATATTATCTTGGCGGGATCGAACTTTAATTGTTNGTCTTGGCGGGATCGAACTTTAATGGTTGCATTCTGGACATTTTCAAGGACAACATGCTTAATGTTCTCGCCAGCAGCATATTTTGCCTCTGTCAGAGCGAAGGAGGAAGTTTTCATGACATCTCCCATTGATTCCTTCGTTGACACGATGTCCTTTAGAATCTGACGGAACTGCACAGTCAAAGCATCACTCTTCTTCTTGAGCAGAGCATGGCCTCTTGTAGCACCAACAAGGCGAGCTTTGATCACACCAAGCATTGTAACTGTAGGAACGACATTCAAACGCTGGCTTTGCCCGGACATTTTGCCAAGCTACTTTAGCTGAAAAGAAGAAATAAGGATTTCATAAAGAATAATGATCACCTTAATACATGATAGTAAATTGTTTACAAAGTGTAATCTAACATCAGAACGACATAGTCAGCATGAGATCATTTCTTTACCTATTAATAAATACAACAGTCAATATTTATCTAATATAAAATCACGCCATAAAGGCCAAGGAAAAAAATGTGAACGAGATCAAATCACCAATTTGACTTTCTCTATGGCAATGTTTGTTAGGTCCAGAAACCACTCTCCATAGGTTTCCACTAAGAATCTTGTTACAACAATAACAACTAAGCCTCAATGCCAAATAAGTTGAGGTCGACTATATGAATCCTCATTGACCATGCCAGTTCATAAGTTCATATAAACTCATCTCAGGTCAATTTTATACAAAATGAAAAAAAAATCAAAATCAAAATCAAAAGTACTAGAAATTCTTTATAGTTTTTATTACTAGAAATTCTTTATGGTTTTTACTGACGTATAAATCTTTGAAAGGCTAAACAACTCCTAGAGAAGCATAAGTTTCCTCTAAGAATCTTGTTACTATAATACAATTATTAATTACTAGCTATATCGAGATAATTTATTTACTATGGTAACCTCAAATCAAGGATCGACTACAATTTTGGACACTAAGGAGTATACTTTAACATCACTTAAACCGAATTGCTTAGATTTGAGTATATAATCGACACCAGTCGTTTGGATAACTAGAAGAACTTGGCAAATAACTTGAAAGTTATTACTTTTATCTCTTTTTTTGGGGCATTTCTTAGGAAAAATGTACAGAGAAGAGCAGATCGGTAAACCATTACAACGTTGTAGCAATTATGAGATGGGAATACAAAGAAGAATACATATTACTAGTATAAAAACACACCCAAAAAAAAAAAAAA